AAAATTACAACAAATTAAATTCAATTACAATAAAACTAGTCTAATTTGCGTAAATTAAAATTACAATAATATTTATTCTCCTAAAGTGTGAACATCAATTTATACACACACCACCAATGGCTCTCCCAACGGCTCTCTTGTCGCAGCCTTCCCTATCGAGAATACATCAAGCGCCGCGAAGAGAACAGATGCTTTCACTGTGGGCTTGTGTTCGCTCGGGGACATCGTTGCCCAGACAAGAATTTACGAGTCATCATCTTGGCGGCTGATGATGAGGGTGAATCCGAAGATACCAATGTTGACGATGATGCTCTAGTTCATTCCGATTGCAATTGGTTAGACTTATCCATGTGCTCGGCCGGAGGACTTACTACTCCGCAGACGATGAAACTCCAAGGCAAATTAATGGATCACCCGATTTTGGTGTTAATCGACAGTGGCGCCAGCCACAATTTCATTTCGCACAGATTGGTGGAACGGCTAGGCTTACCAGTGGATATGACAACGCCATCTTTTGTAAGGTTGGGGGATGGTAACCGTAGGCAAACTCTGGGCAGTTGTACCAACGTGCGCATCCACCTGGGAGACTACACTATGAAAGGCAAATTTTTTCTGTTTGAATTGGGCGGCGTGGACGTCATACTGGGGATGGCTTGGTTGATGACCCTGGGAGAGGTTAAAGTGAACTGGGGACTCCTTCAAATGAACTTTCTGCACCAAGGGAACCATATAACCATTCAGGGGGACCCAAGTCTGTCCAGAGAATTGATCACCACCAAGGCGTTGAGAAAATTGCACCAACGTTCTGTAGAATCTCTGGCCATACTCTGGATCGGAGAGAACTCCCTTGATACACCACAACAGCTTACCAAAGATCAAGACGAACAACTGCAGCAAATTTTGCAGGAATTCCATCTTGTTTTTTCAATACCACATGCCTTGCCACCACATCGAGACGCTGATCATAAAATATCCATTAAAGCAAGCATAGATCCGATTAATGTACGCCCTTATAGGTATCCCTACTTACAGAAGAACGAGATCGAAAAACAAGTGGAGGAAATGCTCACAGCCGGTTTAATCCGACCAAGTAACAGCCCGTATTCAAGTCCTGTTATTTTAGTCAAAAAGAAGGATGGAAGCTGGCGGTTTTGTGTGGATTATCGTGCTCTGAATAAAGCTACAATCCCAGACAAATTTCCTATTCCTATGATTGAAGAATTGCTGGACGAACTTAAGGGAGCTACCTATTTTTCTAAAATCGATCTGCGTGCAGGCTATCACCAAATTCGCATGCATGAACCGGACATTCCTAAGACAGCATTCCGCACCCACCACGGACACTATGAATCCATGGTCATGCCTTTTGGTTTGACCAACGCACCTGCCACTTTTCAAAAGGTCATGAATTCCACTCTCAAAATCTTTCTTCGCCAGTTTGTGTTAGTGTTTTTTGACGACATTCTGATCTACAGTAGAACATGGGCCGAACACTTACGACATTTGCGAGCTGTTTTAACCAAGTTGCAGGAACATTGTTTGTTTGCTAATAGAAAAAAATGCAGTTTTGGTCAGTCGAGGGTGGCATACCTGGGTCATATTATTACCAGGGACGGGGTATCCATGGATCCTCAGAAGATTGAGTCCATCTTACAGTGGCCTATTCCGAAATCTGTCAAAGCTCTTAGAGGGTTTTTGGGGCTCACGGGCTATTATAGACGTTTCATTCGTGACTATGGCAAGATTGCGAGGCCTCTGACAGACCTATTAAAGAAGGGGAACTTTATTTGGAATGTGGCCAGCACGGTAGCATTCCAGAAATTACAACGAGCCATTACTGAAGCCCCGGTATTAGTCATGCCAGATTTTTCGAAACAATTTGAAATAGAATGTGATGCTTCTGGGAAGGGTGTTGGGGCAGTTTTAACGCAAGACAAAAAACCCATTGCTTTTTTCAGCAAAGGGTTCGCTGACTCCAACCTTACCAAATCCATTTATGAAAAGGAACTCATGGCTTTAGTTTTAGCAATTCAACATTGGCGACCGTATCTCTTGGGACGGAAATTCAAAGTCTTCACTGACCAAAGGAGTCTACGCTACTTATTGGAACAACGGATTACAACTCAAAACCAACAAAACTGGTTAGCCAAGCTCCTCGGATATGATTTTGACATCGTTTACAAAGTGGGAGCCTCAAACAAGGTTGCTGATGCACTATCTCGTCTTGAGGAGGATAAGGAATTGCGGGGGATTTCAAAACCTTTTTGGCAAGATATAGGGGTCATTGATGAGGAGGTTCAATGTGATCCGGATTTAGCAAAAATAAAAACCGCATTACTTCAAGACTCCAATTCCTATAAACATTACACGTTGGAAAATAATAGACTGCATTACAAGGGCAGATTAGTGTTATCTGCTACATCTGCATGGATTCCCAAGTTACTACATGAATTTCATGCCGCTCCTTCGGGAGGACATTCTGGCATTTACAGGACGTATCGACGAGTGGCTCAGTCTCTGTTTTGGCTTGGCATGAAGGATACCGTCACACAATATGTTGCGGCATGTCCGGTGTGTCAACGCAGCAAGTATTTAGCCTCATCTCCAGCTGGCTTATTGCAACCACTGCCTATTCCGGAAGCTATTTGGGAAGAAATCAGCATGGATTTCATTGTGGGACTCCCTCGTTCAAAAGGTTTTGATGCGATCATGGTGGTTGTAGATCGTTTGAGTAAGTATGGGCATTTTATATTAGTCAAACATCCTTACTCCGCTAAATCCATTGCTGACATTTTGTCAAAGAGGTTATTCGGTTACATGGGATTCCGATTTCAATTGTTAGTGATCGGGATCCTATGTTTATGAGCCATTTCTGGCAAGAATTATTCGCACGACAGGGTACCAAGTTGAAAATGTCGACGGCATATCATCCGGAAACCGATGGCCAAACGGAGGTTTTAAATAGAACCCTTGAGACTTATCTCCGGTGTTTTAGTGCTGAACAACCGCGGGTGTGGGCAGAGTTTATCCCATGGGCAGAATATTGGTACAATACTAGTTATCATGCTTCAGCGCGCTGTTCGCCCTTCGAAGTGGTTTATGGTCGTCCTCCTCCTTCCTTAATACGATTTGTTCCGGGGGAGACGTTGGTTGAAGCAGTGGCACAAGACCTCTTAGACAGAGATGAAGCTCTGACTCAATTAAAATTTCATCTGACGCGGGCTCAGGATCAGATGAAGCAATATGCGAATGTTCATAGGAAATTTGTGGAGTTCCAAGTCGGAGACTCTGTTTATTTAAAGATCAGACCACATCGTCAAACATCCATGGCAAGCAAGTTACATCCTAAACTCTGTGCTCGCTATTATGGGCCTTTTCAAATTACCAAACGGATTGGCGCAGTGGCGTATCAATTACAGCTGCCACCAGAGGCTCGAATACATCCTGTATTTCATGTTTCTCAGCTTAAGAAGGCTGTTGGGAACCAGACGGTGGAAGCAACTTTACCTGTGGAGTTACAAGTTCCACAGGAATCCTATCTTCCTAAGGATGTGGTGGGTACTCGCGTAATCAATCGCGATGGCAGTAGCATACCTCAGGTTCTTATTTGTTGGCAGGGACGAACGCCAGAGGACGCCACTTGGGAGGATGTGACTGTCATTCAGACTCAGTTTCCCGATTTCCACCTTGAGGACAAGGTTGTTTTGGAGGCGGGAGGTATTGTTAGACAACTAGAGAAGGATAGGAAGTTAAAAGTGTATTATAGGAAGAAGGGTACAAATAAGAATTAAACTTATTTGACCTTTTGACCTTTTAGAGTGAGGGACGGTAATAATTAGTTAGTGAGGCCCTCTTTAAATAGGACTGGTTTAGGTGGTGAAGGGGATGGATATTGTTTGGGTAGTATTTCCAACTGGACAGATTCCAGTGTGAAAGGAGTAGTCTCCTTTGTGTACTTTTTTCCTTACAATCAATAAAGTTCCAGGGACGAATAATTCCCTTTCTCTCTCAGTCCTCTTCGGAGCTCTAACATAAATCATGGCATGTAAAATGCTGTAAGCAAAGGGTGCATTTGAAAGCACCTCCTTTCCTTAATGAGAACATGATAATACACATATTTCAATTTATGTTGGCTTTAGTATTATGACTATCGAACTCCATAGCTTCAATTGCGACATATTAATGCAAATCTGGGTCAGTTATGCAGCGTCATACATAGGATTATCAGTGATATGAAGTTCCCAGATGCTTAGTTACCCTTCTGTTAGGGTTATCTGCAACACATCTGAATCATAGATTTTGCCAATACATTTGACGGTGATAAAATATTTTTACCTTGAATGATTTTATTTTTGTTCTCCACTTGGTAATGTTCAGATTCTGAAGGAATTTCTTTCTTATGCTGAAGCTGAAGTGAGGTCTTTGGCTCAACTTTATGCCAATGTGGTATGGATTTAGTTCTTTTTAGAGATTTTTTATTAAACAATGAATTGCATATACAAGAGATGTATTTGATATTCTGAATTTGGATGTACCAGGGTAGAAATGCAGATGCATTGGCTTTATACTTTGGTGAAGATCCAGCACGTTGCCCATTTGAACAAGGTAACTAGGTACTTTTAATCAGTATACATTATCAATATTTATTTCCACTTTGCCTGTGTTCTTTTTCAAAAGATTTAAGTTTTAGAATGGTTGTGGATCTCAATGGATTTCGTTGTGTTTGTTATCTTTAGGAACACACGGTTTTCATCCTGTGCAGCATCATATCTCCCTTTATGTAAAGGAAATTCACACACAAAAAAAAATACTGCAAACATAATCTTATTTTCAAAATCTTAGTTTAGTCTAAATCAAATACTGCAGTACTATCCACCATATCCCAAATTGACAATCACTTTGAGAAATCAATATGGAATTCTTTGTTTAGTAAAAAACACTCGAGTGAAAAGCTTTCCAAGATTTCCATAAGTTATTTCTGTCAATATGGATATTGAAACAATTTGATTATGATAAAAAGAAAACCACTGCTTCTCATTAAACTCCCATGGCAACCTTTTCCCAGATTTGATTCTGTTCTTTTCTTTTCTCTAGTTGTATCTACACTGCTCAACTTTGTGAGAATGTTCGTAAAAGCGCATGATGAAAATTGCAAGCAGATTGAGTTAGAGAAAAAGAGAGCAGAGAAGGAAGCAGAAAATGAGAAGGCGAAGTTAGCTGCTGCTAAAAAGGAGTCTGAACCGATGATAAGGACCACCATCAAGAGTGGGAATGTTAAATGATAAGATCTTTCTGTGGCCTCAAGCTGCTGCAAGAGATGTTACATAGTGATAAAGTTGCCATCTGGTTGGATAAAGAAAACCCTTTGCACAAATGCAAAACCATCTTGGCTGCATAGACATTAATGATGACCCTATAACTCAAGTTCTCTAATGCAATAAATTTATGCTCGTGGCATATGGCTGAGGATTATATTCAAGTAGTAAGCCTTCTCAAAAGCTCATTTTATGTCAAGATCTATATGCGGCATAGTCACCAGTTTCTAATTAACATTCATTTCATTCTCAATTTGTTCCATGTCAAGCAGAAAAGCAGTTTCATGGTGTTCACTTTGGTGAGAGTGAAGTATTTCAGTGTACAAAGAAGCCAGTCCAAAATTTTGTGTACTCACATTAGCAATGTAAATGTCGATCCATTGACAACTTTTTCCCACAAAAGATAGAGTAGTACTTAAGTTTTAATTTAACTTACTTAGAGGCACCTACACTGAGAGTTCTCATTTAAAGCCCTTATGCTCTACATGCACTGATGAAGGCAAATGCGTTGTAAATATTGAGGTATTGGTTAGAATACATGTTTGTTTTACTGAGCCATCCGTTTATTTGAAGTTCAAGCTCTCATTTGATAAATGCTTTATTTTAATAGTCATCAAATCCCATCAAATAGCCCTTAGAGGATTACTTATTGTATGTTTGGATGAAAGAAAAGAAAATATGTATGGCAGTACTTTCATGTTTGGTTGGAGAAAATGAAAAGAAAAGGAAAATAAAAGGTTGATTTATGAAGACAACTTAAAAAATTTCTTTCCATTTTTCTTTAATTCAAATATTAAATTTTACTCTTTTTCTCACTTTTTTCCACCATGCCAAACAGATAATTAATTTAGGTTAATGAGTAATGTCCAACGCCTGTGTCTCATTTGAGTCGTTATTTCGTCTTACAAAAGATCAAATGAAATTTAGAAGTAAAGAAACTAAGGAAAAACTGTAAACTTACACTTAAATTTCCAATCTAGCAATATGCATGGGAAACTAAGTTTTCCTCACTCTTTCAGTGCTACAAGCCTATAATTCACTGAACTAAAATTCATCTTTACACTTGCATTTTCTCTATGGGGGGTTTTGTGGGGTTGGGGAAAAAATGATTGACTTCACTCTTCCTGAAGATCCAAATTGAGGTTTAGACCTTGTTGCTTTTGCTGACCAGTGATGGTGCGGGCAACTGCTTCAGCTAATGACAAGGTGAAGCCAGGATCTTTGACTAGAGAACTTACATATTCTTCAATTTTGATGTTGCTTCCTTGGTCTTTTTGTTGCATGACATCTTCACAATGTCTCGTATCTGTTTGAGACCACCCAAAAAGAGCCAAGTCAATGTTCATGGCTTCTTTATCATTTGGTATGCTTGTCAGAGGCAACTTATTAACCACTGGTGACCCTTTTGGTGTGGATGAAGATGACTCATGAATGACACCATGGTTGTGTTTTTGTGTGGATGAAGATGATTCATGAATGGCACCATGGTTGTGCTCTCCATCATAAGTTGCAACAAGAATAGACTTGTCATGTATGCATCTTTGCACCTAAAATGGTCAAGGCAAAAAAGAATTAAACACATTAAAAACCACATGATAAGGCAAAACAATATTAAGATTTCTTAAAGTCATATGTGCACATGAAACATAATATAATTAGTTAAACATTGTGAATAAATGAAATGGATTTTACTCTTTACTAAACTAGTTAATCATAAAACTTTTGCTATTTATTGACAAGTTCCCTCATTAGATAAATGTAACTGACAAATAATTGTAAGAAATGACTGAATTGTATTTTTTTTAGTGATTCGGAGTATTTTTTAGTCAAAAGTTATAAATTAATCTTTTAAAGTATTAAGATCTATTTAAGGAGCTAATCTCTTTCGATACGTAGATATATAAATTAATCCTTTAAAGTATTAAGATCTATTTAAGGGACTAATCTCTTTCGATATATATTCTTTTATATATGTAGATACGAGAATCAAAAGTTTTTCTATTTGTCTACATATTCTAAGTATTCTAATTGTACATATAGGTGTTCTTAACTTGTCCTACATTTATTATTTTCTTATTAAATTACATTTTTATTGCTTAAAGAAAATAGTACTAAATGAATTTAGGATATATACCTTCTTTTTGGCTGGGCAAATAGGAGCCATAGAGCACCTGAAGTAAGCTCGAGGTGAAGCATTGTCTTTGGTGACCTTCTGCCCATACTTCCTCCACTGATAGCCATCTTTTACTATCTATATTCCAAAGGAATCATTGAATAAACACACAAACTTCATGATAGAATTTGACCATTAACATAAATCATTTGATTGATACACAACCAAATTATTGCTGATGGGGGCATAACACATACCAAACTATCATCCTTAGGGTGTGTTCTGACAAAGATTTGTAATGGCTTTTTTGCTGTGGGAAACTCTAGTCTCGGTCTCTTGTTTGTATCAAGGATAGGTACTGTTACTGACCCTATTTGATTTGAAGAACTCAAGCCCTCGTGTTTTGCCTTGTTTGTCTCTTGTACATGGGTCTCAAGCTTTGTGCACTTGCTGTTCAGAACTTCAAGCATCAATCTTAGGGTGTTATTCTCCTCTCTTAATCGTTGTAACTCCTCTTTAAGAGTTTCCACCTAAAATCATCAAATCAAGATTGTTGTAAGCTTTGAGAATCAGCTACATATGCTTTCATCCTTAGTTAAAAAGATTTTCTATGTTTCTGAATGGTTAAGAGCACCCAAAAAGCAAACTAGAAGAACTCAGAAATAAAACTAAAAGGTACCCAAACAAAAAAAAAAAAAAAAAAAAATTTGGGGGGGGG